ATTGCGGTTTGAGCCGCTGCTGTTATCTCGATAATAGCTTTGTTGACTATTGATGCTACGCCACCTGAGGGTATAGCAAACTTAGCTTTGATGGTGCCAGCTTTATTTTTAATTGTTTTAGCGGTTATTGTTAAATTGTTACTATCTTTTCCAATATTTGCATTATTGGTAATAGTACCAGCTTTTATGGTTGCACTAGTCTTTGTTTCCTGAATAGTTCCGCTATTATCAATCTCAGTTACGGTTATATTATCAGACTTAATCGTGCCTTGAGTATTGGTTAGTTTGAATTTTAAAGCATTCGGACTATCAGTTTCTAGTGTAATATTACCAGTGATGCTAGCATTCGATGAATTATTAACTAATTCAAAAGTGTTTACATTATTACCTGCGACACTAGTCTTTGTTGCTACACCAGTAATAGTAAACCCACCAGCAATTGATTTTAAGTTAGTAAACTTAGCTGTTTTATTTGCATTTGCTTGACCATTAGAGGTAGAAGTTCCAGGCCTTAAAGGAAATGCTGTCTTACTACTTTCACCAATAACAACTCCGCCGTTAATAATAGTACCCTTATTTTCAATATCAGCATTTACTATTGCTTTTTCGTTGTCTAGCTTAAAGCTAGTTATTTTTGCATTGCCATCTATTTCAAAGCCTTTAGGTAAATTTAATACTATAGCAGTGCCACTAGAATTAGTAATTTCACAGATAGTTATTGTCTTGTTTGCACTATCGCCTTGAATTTCTAGATGAGTTATATCAGATATGTTAGGGTAAATAGATGTATCAGCACCATCCTTCTTATATGTGGGCGTTGCGTTTAAATTGAAAATACATTTATTATTATTTGGTTTTAATATTAAAAGCTTAGTATATTTATTGTAAACACAAGCACCAAGTGTAGTCGATACTTCTGATGTCCTATCAGACTGAGCAGCTTCTTTTATAGCAGCGAATGTAACCACAGCACCTGCTTTACCAGAATTAGTTGATGTTACTTCTAAATCT